AAACATCATTATTTTTTAATAAACAATATAATTTAATATATGGCATGTTTTTAGGAGAGTTTATTGACGAAGTCGAAATTTTATATTTTAAAAAGCCTTCTTCGATTTATGAAGTAGATTATAAAAGTATAGTTGAGAACCTATGGAAGACTAACGTATCAAATAATTTAGGCGAAGACATCAAGGTTAAGAAGTTGATTTCGAATGTAAATATCGGATTGTTAGAAAAGGGAACTAACAAGTCTCAGAAGAGTTTAGTATTTAATACATTAAGTGAAGCGTTGTATCATCAAAATCTGTATGGGGGAAGAATTAATAAGATTAGTGGATTTTATGATGATAAGGTTTTGACAGAGATGACAGATGAATATATTAAAGAATTAGAACAGGAAAGAGGCGAGGGATGGGTTTTAGAATTTAAGGCTCATGATAATGATGATGATAGGTACCGGAATTCTGATGATGGTACATATAAATTTTGGAAAAATAATATGTATTATCATAATCATTGCCGTGAATGTTATAAAATTAGAGATGGTAAAAAATACGATATCAAAAACGTTGAGAAAGAATCAGAAATCAAATATTACACATTGACAATGACAAATAAACAAGACTTAACCAATGGCTTTAGGTATATTAAGGAACTACTCATGCAACGACATAATTTTAAAATGCATAAAGATTATAAAACATTGAAAGACAACAATATCAATGTGCATAGTGTTAAAACAGATGCCTTCATTATTGATAGGAAAAATATTGACAAGGCTAAAACATTGATTAAGTTTTCAACCAAAAGGGGAGGATGGAGAGCTGAAGATAATAAACAAGTATCACCACCGAGCGATATATACAAAATTAAGGCTAATGAGTTATCAGAAATTCCGACTTACAATAATGTAAAAATTCGTGTTAAGGACGAATACGACACCAAAAGCATTTGTGAGCAAATTGTGTCGTGTAATCCGGTTTTGATAAAAGCAAAACTGGCTGGAAGCGGCAAGAGTTATATAGGCGAATATATGAAAAATCTAGGTTATAATGTGTTATTCGTATGTTCTAATAACAAGCAGAAGCAAGAAACCGAAGCCGACGCCGTAACATTAAACAAGTTTTTCAGTATTCCAATAGAAGCTGGAGAAAGACTACCGACATTTGACCATTCTGATTATAATTGTATTGTGTTTGACGAGCTAGGCATGGCGGGTAGTTATATTTTGAACAGAGTTATGGAGTTTAAGGATAAGCATCCCGAGAAGATAATTATAGGAACTGCTGACGGGAAGCAGTTGAAACCTATAGCTGATTTAACTAACACCCAAGACCACGAGACATATTTAAACAACTGTCTTAATCAAATGTTTAAATATAAGATTTATCTTAAGATGTCTAAGAGACTTAAGACAGAAGAAGATAAAATTAAATTGAATGATATATATAATGACATTTGGAAAAGTAAACTGCCCTTTAAGGAAATAGTAAACAAACATTTTGAAACCACAAGCGACATCATGGAAGGAGAGCATAACATAGCCTATACTAATACTAGGTGTAAATGGGTAAGCAAGACCGTAAGAAGCAATTTAGGAAAGACAGATAAATATGAAATCGGAGAGCATGTGATATGCAGAGTTTATAAAAAAAGAAATGGGGCAGGTGTTTAATGTAAATATTACTTATGAAATTATTAGCATTGATGATTGGAAAGTAGAAATCCAAGATATCAAAAGTAAAACTATATTCATGACAAACACCACGACTTTAGACAAGCACTTTATACCTGCGTATTGTGCTACATGTCATTCGTCTCAAGGGGCTTCTGTAGATAAAAGCATTACTATACACGAATGGGATAAATCACATTTGGTCAGCCGTGGGTGGATTTGGACAGCCCTGACGAGATGCAGAGATATCAATAAAGTCAAGTTTTTCAAAGCAGAAACAGATGATACTGACTTAAATGAAGCACAATTAACCAGATATTTAGAACATAAGATTAAACAATATAAATTACAAGACATGAAAGCAGAGAGAGAGATAGACAACAAAAAATATATTGATGTCAAATGGTTATTTGACAGGCTTAATACCAGATGTAATAAATGCAGTTCAGAGTTTGACATAGAAATAAATAATGGAGTAATTAATAGTAATATGACAGCCCAAAGAATAAACAACGATTATGCCCATCATAAGGAAAACTGTATATCTTACTGTTTAAACTGTAATCGCCGGGAAAAATAATATCTATCTTATTTTATATGGCATCTAAGCAAGATGTTATTAATAATGTTTATTAAGATAAGGGAGGCTTCGGGTCAAAGAATCGCACTTTACAAGAAGCAAGGAAAAAGGATAACACAATAACTATAAACGATATTAATGAGTTTTTTAGGAAGAATGTAGAACAGAAAGCTAAACCGAGAGGGCAGAATTCATTTGTCGCGCCTAACGCATATTATGAGTTTCAAATTGATTTATTTTTCATTAATGATATTCCAAAACAAAAGTTTAAAATTGGTATGCTGTGTATTGACATATTTTCTAAATATATGGTAGTTGTCCCGCTTATGTCAAAACAGCCAGCGGACATTTTAGCAGGACTGATGGAATGTATTAAAACGATGGGCGGGAAAGCGAAGCTTTTTTATATTGACGATGAAGGAGCTTATAATAATCAAAGTGTTATAGATTTTTTGAAGGATGAAAAAATAGAGTTGCACAGAACCAGAGGGCACCCAGCATTCGCGGAGAGGGCAATAAGGACGTTTAAAGATAGCTTGTATAAGAGGGTTGAAAACGATGAGAAGAAAGACAAGGCTATTCAATGGACAGACTACATACACGAGATTGTATTAACTTACAACAATGGAATAAAGCACACTTCACACGGCTTAACTCCGTCAGAAGCAAGAAAGCCTAAACATCAATTAGAAGTGAGTTTAAACTTAGGTATGAAAGCCAAAAGAAATAGAATTTATCCAGATTTAAGTCTAGGAAATGAAGTTAAGATATTCAGGAAAAGGAAACCAAATGAAAAGGAGAGAGTAGGAAATTACACAAAGCAGACTTACAACATAGCAAAGACAGAAAAGACATTAGGACAAGAATATTATTATATTGAAAATTATGACAGGGGGTTTTTGAGACATGAGTTATTAAAGGTATAAATTTATTTCTTGGAAAAAAGTATTTAAAGAAATAAAAACTATATATATTATAATAGAAATGATGGAAACCGAAATCAACAATTATATCAATAAGAAATGCTACGACTGTTGCCACTTCAAAAAAGAAAATATGGAATTATACAAATTAAATTTACCTAATGGAATAGTTAATAATATTATTGATTATGCTTTGAGTGAAGAAGACGAATGTAAAATTTGTCAGGAATGGAGAGAGAAACAAGAATTAATCAGATGTCATTTAAATCTGAAAAGAAGGAATAATAGAAATGTTGAAGATGACATCTTAATATTTTTAACTGTGTATGAAAGACCGCCTTACGATTATGTTAAACAGTTTCTTAAAATCAGTAAGAAAAAGTATGAAATGATTAACCACATTTTATGGATATTGTTATATCGTAGAAGAGAAGGGTTTGATGTAAAAGAAGACATTAAATCAAATATTGAAGATAAAAAGTTTAATGTTAAAAATACCGTGAGAACTATTAATATTATTATTAAAATGATGTATGAAAGAAGTAAGATGTATCAATTAAATTATTATCCTGAATTTAAATTATAACCATACTATAATAATAACATGTAAAATATTATATGTTATAATTATATTTCAATATTTAATTTTATTTCTTGGAAAAAGTATTTAAAGAAATACAAACTATATATATTATAATAGAAATGGAGTTTCAAAAACTACCAGTTGAAGTTATTAATAATATTATGTCCTATAAATACGGCAAGCCAGAATATATGAAAATAAAGCATAATCATATTGACACATTGAAGAGAATACAAGGAAGATATAAAATTGACAGAACTGACATAGAAAGAAAAACAAAGCACTGTAATAATTTAGATGGCGATAAAGTAAAGAGACAAATATTCCAACATTATGTTTCTAGGAAGGTTCCATTAAGCATTGAAAGTATTGAAGATATAGTTATGAAAGAAGGGGATGAAATAGATAGCTTAATAGATAAGTATGTAGGATATGAAGGTTATCAAGCAATAATAACAGTTGATGTATGTTTATATGTAAGGTTTCATAATTTTAATTAAGATGAGGATGATGAATATAGCAGGTATTGTTTTGATTTTTATAGTGGTAGACACTTAATGGGTTCTATAGACCAAGATAATTTAACTGATGTAATGGAATACGCAGTTGCAACAATATGTAGAAATATTGATAATGAAAGGGATATAATGAATATTGTAGGAGTAAAACACATAAGGTTTATACTAATTATTGATGAACCTGAATAATAAAACCATACTATGATTATAACATGTAAAATCTTATATGTTATCATTATAATGTAAGTATAGCGGTTTATATATTTAATTCTAAATCCTACAAGGAGGGCCACGCCTACTAAAATATATGATAAAACTGATGAAACGAGAGAGGGGGAGTGATGTTGTTGCTGTTCTATTTTTTGTCTGAGAAATGGGAAAATCGTTTTTAGACAGTTCGAATATTTTTGTGATGACAAATATGTTTTGCAATATATGTTGCAAAATTTATTTTTTTGAAATGGATGAGGCGAGGAGATTGAGGAAATGATATTTTGAGAGGTATATGATGAAATGAATGAGGCGAGGAGGAAGGAGAAAAGGATGGCGGAAATTTTGGAAAAATGATGAGAAAAAAACGGATGAGATGGACAGAAAGGAACTTAGAAAAATGATGAAAACAAATAAGGGTAGAAGATGGAAGATGAAAAAAGTTGTAGGGTGGGGGGTATGTATGAAACAAATTTATTTGTAGGCGAGGCCCCCGACTACTGATTAGTGGTATTTGCCATGGACGGTGAAAAAGCCACATCCGGCAAGAAGACAGTGGCGGTGCAGATCAATATGGGCGGAGAGGCGGTCATCACGGTGTCTCCAGAATTGTTCAAAGTGGCGGGGGAGAACAAGCTTTGTACAATAGGCTTTGGCACTTGGGAATGCCAAGACGCTGATGGACTCGTTTTTGTGGATTACTCTCCTGCAGTGTTCATACCGCTAGTGGAGTGGCTGCGGGAGCTGCGAGATGCAGAGCCAGGACAGACGGTTTACGTGCAGGTGCTGCAAGAGAAGAGAACGGCATGGATCCGTATGGTGAACGCCTTGTCCTTTCCAAAGCACCTCCTCCGGAAGGCGGGCATCAATGCTCATGAGCTCTTGTGCATGGGCTATTCCGTGGGATGCGCACGTGACTTCGAATTCACAGCTGAGGAGCTTATCCTTGCAGGGGCTCAGGCTGCGGGAATCCGCGAGATTGTTAAGCCTGAGGAGCTGCCAATCATCTTACGGCATGTGGCGGAGACGCATGGCACATCTTTGACTGCAACAGGTCTATGTCAATTCCTGGCGCGAAGTGGGTTCGACGCAGAAGAGCTAGAGGCCGCAGGAATCAAGGAGTCACCGCCGCCATCACCATTACCTCTCTTTGGTGATCCCGCTGGCAATGGCGGCCTCTTCGGCGAAGCCAGCGGCAGGACTTCCCTCTTCGGCGAAGCCAGCGGCAGCACTTCCCTCTTCAGCGAAGCCAGCGGTGGGACTTCCCTCTTCGGTCCTCCCGTTGTTCGGTTCAAAATGCCGGCTGCCGATCTCCACGCTTCAATCGATGGCGGTTCCGCCTCTGGCGTAGACGGAGTTTCGACCTTTCTCGCCTGTGGTGCTGGCAGCTCTGCTTGAACGATGGCAATCCTTACCCCCCAAGAGGAACAGCGCGAGGACGCCGAATGGCATCAAAGGATGTCGGGCGCGTGAGCGAAGTGAAAAGATGCCTGCGAGGAGACCGCTTCTTTGGTGCTGGGAGATGCGTAAGCCGGAGCCAGTCGCATAAAGAAATTCCACATGCGTGCAGCACCTTGGGATGGTTGATGGATGTTGTATGTATAATTGACATGTATGGCATTGTATGGCAAACGAAGAGGCATGTAATTGTCTCCTGACAGGTGTCGTTCTAGAAGTGCTGGCCCGACTTTGCAAGAGGTTGAACTGACTTTACTTGTTTCCGTTTCATTGCTGTGCTCCGCCCAGAGCCCCACACTGTTCCATAGCAGGCCCCTCATCTCAGCAGTCACCGAATGATTCGCTCACCTTCTGACCCGGAATAGGTCGCCTGGCGCACCTAACATTCAAGCTCAAGGCCGTGCAGTTCAAGAATCCCAGCACTAGGCAGGCTTTTTCAGCAAGATGTCGCATGGGCCGGGGGGAGGCAAAAACTGAGAGAAAGAGGGGAGACACCAGAGGAAGATTGAATAAGTTGATCCTATTTGGATAAGTTGGTGGGTCCCGCCATGGGCGTATTTGGCCGGCCGGGAAAAGGAAGCCCGCCATATGATCCATGAAAACAGTGCACGCACGTACAGAAAGTTAATATCTATATTTACATATACATATTACGCGTTGTGTTTCATTCGAGCGGCGGCCTGTTGCCCGCAATTTGACAGTGGTGGGGAGAGGGGCATTATTCTTGAATATTTTTGAACATGTGCACTGTGCCACACACGTAGAAGGTTTTGCGGAATGGACTTCTTTCTTGGAAAGTTCGCGGAAACTTTGTATCTTACCACTATAAACTGACTTTCCCTTCTGCGCATACCCGCGGAAGCAAAACTTGTAAAGCGTACGCCGCGGAAGGACGCGGAAACAAACGATGAAAAACATACCGCGGAAGCCCGCTGAAGGAACCCTGCTGGCCTGCGGTCAATATGCGGAAGCGTCCACGGAAGCTTTTCAGGGGAATAAAAACCACCACTCATTTATGCGCACACGTAAACGCACCTTTGACGTAGGTCCACATGCGCATGTTTAAAACGTTTGGCCCGTATCCCGGTCCCAACTCAGCGTTTGCTTGTCCGACGACAAGGTCCGCCAAGGTCAGCTGCAGTTGCGCTCTAAAAAGGGGATCTCGTTCTTTCGGCCCCCAACATGTTGTTTGGCCCACACACCACACGGTAACATTGTAACATGGAGGTCAAACAAAAGGGTTGGGTCGGAAACGCTGGGTCCCTTGAGTTGCAAGGAGTCGTATCTGTTACTTTGCCCTCACCCATTCGGGGTTGGAAAGGTCCGCATAGGGGCTTGGACAAGGGAGGAAGTTGCCCGATATGAATCCAAACAGACCCATTTCCTGAGTCAAAGGGGGGAAAGTGAGAAACCCAAGTTGGTTTCTTGGACTGAGGCGTTCCGCCAGGGGGGTGAGCCATCAGACCAATGGGAGCGAGGCGGTTCCTTGTTAGCGTGTAGAACAGACAACTAAGCTTATGATTTTCAACCCCCCTCAACCCCCCCCTAAAAACCCTTCTCAACCCCTCATTAAAACTAAACTTGTGACCCCCCCAAGCTTTTTAGAGGCCACATGTCGCGAGGCATTTTGTGAGTCTCCATGGCACCTTCGGAAGGATTTGTTTCGGGGCGGCCTTACCCCTGTGGGAAAAAAACAAAAACAAAACAAAAGCCACCTGGAGGCTTTGGCTTGGGTCCATCTCCCTTTAGTTTCAAAAGCAGCAATTGGATCGGGTATTTTCATATATTTGCCTTCACGAAGTACGAGTCTCTCTTGTAAGTTAGAAGTACAATCCCACACTTGTAAAGGTTTCAGTCAGAATCCCAGGGTTCTGACCTTTGAAACCGTTGAGTCGGGTCAGATGGGGTTGGGGACTGGTAAACCGGCCTCCCTTGGAACCAAAAGCCATAGCAATCGGGTTGCCATTGCAACCCGCGGTGACTGTTGGTGACTCAGGAACCATTGTTTGACCATGAAAGATCATAACCCCCCCATGGCTCCCGTTGCTATGGCTTTAAAACATTATTTTTTGTTGGAGGGGCCTGAAAAGGGGAAGCGCGCTTTGATTATGTGGGTTAAAACCCTCATCCTTTGGGAAGAAACGTTTCTGGGTGGTCCCGGAACTTCTGTGGTCCTTTTCTTGAGACGTCAATGGGATCGCCTGAAGCAGTGTGGCATGCCGAGCCTCAGGTATGGCGAGCTTGGGCGCCTACAAATTCTCACGTCTACTGGGACGTGCCTGACGTGTGAGGAGGGACCTGGGGCAGGCAGCTGTGGCAAGGTGTAACCGGTAGAGACCCCTTCATGTGGGACTGGTCCCTTTTGACCCGCTTTCAACCCTGCTTGTTTCATCTTGTTTCATTTGTTGCCTTGCTGGTGCGTGTCAAACCCACAGATGGACGGGCCACGATAGCCTTCCTCCTATGGCGGCTTGTTGAAGAGTTCAAGATTTCTGAATTATACCTTACCACCTGAAGAAGAAGAGAAGACTGGAGCGGATGGGAGGCACAGCTCACATGTCTAGCCGAATTGGTTGCGCCCCTCTGAAGAGTCGGTCGATACCCCCAGTGCAGTTCGAGCTGATTCTGGAAGGCCTCATTGCATGCCATGATTGACACCTGAGCAGTGGACAATATTAAAACCGTTGTGGCAGTGTTTGGGCGGGCCCCTATCGATTCGTAATGTTATTGTTGAGTATTCACCTGGCTGCTTGGGGCTGGGGTGGTTATTGCCATAGGCCTCATGACCGTAATTGTTTCTTGGCCACACCTCTGAAAGCCAAAGCTCGTGCGCACAAAAAGATCACTTGAGCCTTTGTGTGGGCTTGCTTGAGCTGGCAATCGAGACCAATGGCAATGTAAGAGACCATTTGAGAATGGCTCATGCGATCCTTGTGCCTGAAGTGTTCTTCACGTGATTACTGGCTCGAACATGGCCACAACCATCACAAGCAGACGAGCTGTTGCCGTCAGTTTGTCGCGGGTTTGCCGGACGTCTGCGCATGTACACCAGGACGCAAGCATTCACGAAACCCAATAATTACTGGCCAGCCACCCAGCTGTTCAGAATCAGCATATTATTGGGTCACTCATGATCTTTTGAACAGCCATTAGACGACAAGGGCCATCTTTTTCAAGAAGGGGTATTGCTCGGGGCAAAACGAGCTCACCCATCAAGGTTACTTCCCTGGATTCCTTGTTTCAAGTTTGTGTTTTTGTTGGTAATTTGTCCAGATGCTATGTTTCCTGGACGTTTTCTTCACACTCACAGTATGCTGCGCGCATTGCGACATCCCCTTCCAGCTACTTTTTCTGTTGGCCAGGAGAAAAGTGGGGGGGAAAGTCTGATGTCAGTTGTGGACACAATGAATGTTGACTCCACCATTATTCACCCCAAGACAACGACCGGCATCCCCCATATTCACCTGCCTAGGCTATGATCAACCAACCACGTCAAACATATGTCCCCCACCCATTGTATCATTGTATTTGATATGTGTTGTTCATGTTCCAACAGTTCTGGGTGCCACACATCCCTTCATTATCCCCAAAGGAAACCGGAACGGGGATCTCATCTCTGTTTGGCAACCACTCCCCTGCCATACTTTGGCAGGATTCCTCGGTTTGCAGTTCACCCAACGAGCCGGAGAGCCAGGAGCGGGGGCTCGGATTTTCATCGTGGAGTTCTGGTTACGGATGCTCTACATATAACCAATGCGGTTTTGGGTGAAAAGTATTTACCCAGGGAATCAAATGGGTACACGTAATCCACGAAGTACCCAAAGAACCCAATCACACAACTCAGGGAAGTTGTGGCTGGGACCAGGAAGTGGGGCGTGACAAAGTAGTTGGATTGAATGGTGAAGGAAAACAAGTAGCAAAGGGAGACCTCAATCAAGCCCAGGTAGACCTGCCAACCAGCCAGGTACCCCCTACACCCAGAAAGCAGCAGCCCCGAGGAACTTTTCCTGGAGGATGAAGCTGTCCGCCGATGTATGGCGCCTGCACGCAGATTCAGGTTTTACCTGCACGGGAGATAAAAGTCTTGAGCCAGGCAGCGCGATTCGCGCATGCCTGTGAGGAAATGACACGTGAACAAAACACACCCCCCTCATCCGACAACTGTGCAAGAGAGAGGATGCATGAACAGTTGAGTTCACGACGAATGAGACCAAACAAACGTTAAAATACGGACAGCGGTGCGCCTAAACGGCATCACCCGCGCCCCACTTAAAATCCCACCACCACCCCGAATTAACAGGGCAACGGGATTTTCTGTCGAGTGGGCCACATGACCGTACAGTAACGAGTGAAAGGAATCAAGCATTGATCCCTCTTCTGCCATTCACGTGTGGGACATAGGCCGAATGGGGAGAGGGACCCTGTCCGGGTCACCGTGCCTCCCATGGGCTGGACCAGGATGACGTGTTGGTGTCAACGTTGAAACTTGGAGGTTGAAACGTGAAACGAAAAGAGATGAGACAAAGACTACGGCCAGCTCAGCACTGTATGTGCGAGCAAGGCCTCACCGAAGAGCTTCAAGAGGGATACCACCGGCGCGCACAGCAGCGGTCCAGAAGGGACAAGAAGACCATGCATCAGCGGTACAGGAAGAAGCAGTACATCACGGCGGCGGCGGTGCTTGAAAAGGTAAATCGCCGCGCCACGTCAGCTGACCTCTATGTGAAGAGCAGCTCTAGCCCTGAACGGGCGAGCGCGAGAAATGTAGGTCGGCTAGTGGCCGTGACTGGCTGGCCTGTACGGCCGCCTATCACGAGGTGGGTCATCGTACCGTCGATCACGTCGGTCCGGGCCTCGCGAGTCGGGAGGACCCGACTGCATACGGCGATCGTCAGGTCGACGATCACGCTGATCGCGAGGGCGATCACGAGGAGCGCCAA